TGTAGGAAGTGTAAAACTGGTAGAGCTTGATTTGTAGGCATCGCAGTTCCCTCCTTGTAATGAAAATAGTGTGCACTAAATGACTAACAGGGGAAACCACTCAGAGAAATGCGTATATTAAAAGTGTAGAGCCTCAGCAGGACCACAGTAATCAATTACTCTAAACTGAAGCCCTGGCAGCTTCCATGAATTGCTATTGATTTCAACTCCTAGTCAGTGAATCTTTCTAGGGCTAGGCTGAAATGTAGGTGTGAGATGCAGACAAAATTAGTAACCAGAACAAACCTCTGTGGAAAACACAGGGAACAGCCAGGTTTGGAAAGATATGTTAGGCTGAAGGTTATTTTTTGAAAGTGCTTAAATTTGCAAAAACTTAAGTCCCACGCAGAGATAAAAATGAAGTGTTATATCAGCATATATTGAGATACGAAAGATGAGAGTTTTGTTTTTCTTGTGAAGTTACTGTGGAAAATTTTGTCTGGCATTCTAAAGAAAGCCTCTTCTCCTCCACTGCAGTTGAATAAAGGGGGGAGAGGAGAAAGTAATTTTTTTTTTAATCGAGCCTTCTTCTGACCATAAAAACTTATTTATTTTCTTCTTTCAGTGAACCCACAAGTCATTTAAAAATTGTTCCAAAATAATGATAGAAGATTCAATCCTTTGTATGCCATAGCTTGTGAGCTACAAATTTGTTCTCTACAAAATTCACTTTCTTGTAGAATTCCTTGATGGTTTCAGGAAAATGAAGCAGCTATTTCTTTATGCATACTGTTCACTTCAAAGGGAATTTAATCTGTTTTGAGGAGGCTGCTATATTTCCATTATCATACAAGAAAACTTATTCTGGGACCTTTTTTGCTCAGCAGGAACCCTGTGTATTTTCCACTTTCTCATTATACATGTTTTGGCATGAGCATAAAGCAGGCATGCTCATTTATATTCTAGCTGATCAAGAGGAGAAGTATGATTAATATGAATTTTGGATCAAGGTGAGGGTCAACTATGTAACCTGCAATAAAGGGAACTTTCTGGAGTGACTTCTCCCAGAGGGGAATATTTCTGTTAGATCAGTGGCCCAGAGGCAGTGGAACAAATTTCCTTCCTCCTGTTATCCTCATTTTGCTATCAGCTGCACAACAGCAGCACATAATACTGGATTAGAACTAAACATGCCATATAACTGAATCGTGTACTCAGATCACATTCCTCACACTGCATATCATTGCAGGTTGTTAATCATGCCTTTCCTTATGTTCTTTCCTCTTTCCTCTCTTAGAATTTTCCTTCTCTCCCCCTTCCCCCCCGCAGATCTTTCCCTAAAGCCTCCTCACAGCCAGGCCCTGCCCTGCTTGCTCTCCTTTGTTATACTTCTGTTCTTGAATAGTTTGGGGAAGGCAACGTAGATGCTCAGCCAAAGTTAAGGTTACATTGCCTTAGAGTAGCTTTGTTGCCTTTCCCAAAATTGCCTTTCCTGGTCTTGTAACTCTACTAACCCAACTAAGAGAACATCATCTCTCACCATTGTAGTTTCCAAGTTCACTCAACCTTTTTATTTCCATTTTGCTGTGGAGAGAATCTGTAAAGTCTGCTGGCCTCTTCATAGCTTTATCCTGTTCCATGGAGCCAAGCAGTGGAGGACAGGTCTAGTATGTAAGACAGCAAATAGTTAACAGGGAAGGGCCTGTTCTGTCTTTTGAAAGCAAGAAGATATTTTCTATTTCTTGTTTTAATGTTAATGAATTAAAAGACTGCCAATGTATTCCAGCCCATCACTGGCAAGGTGCAAGTTCAGCCTTCCCTTAGTGCTGCTGTCTGCCAGGGATCGAAATGCCTTGTTCTTCTCAAGTGTGTGTGGGTGTCAAATATTTCATTTTCTTAGGGGAAGTTTCTACCCTGTTAAGGCATAGAAACACTGACTTTTTTAGGACAGTAGAATTATATCCTAGTACACTGACAGTGGTGAACTGAACTCTCTGTTCCTTCTGTCTTAGATGCCTTTAGTCCTAGGTGTTCTTCCCATACTCTGAAAATGAAGCAGATCACATGTGGTACAACAAGAGTCAGATGTGACTGGTATTTCAGAGGTGAATGCAGTGGGGAGAACACAGTGCCCCACTTGAGACAACCCTCCACAAGATCTGATGGCAGAGGAAGGCAGTAGAGTAGGAGACAACTACAGATTTGTGCTATTACCATAGTCTTCTCTGTAGCAGTGCAATTTTCATCTAATCAGTTTCTGCCAGATTCCCTATGTTTCGTGCTTTTCAAGTTCACCAAAGGCCCTGTTTCTAAAGCACACTGTCTGGTCCAGGTTTTTTTCATTTTATTATTTTTTCCTGACATGCGATGCTGTGCTTAAGAGGAAGAAAAGACACAAAGGGAAGACAGAAAAATAGAAATGAGAAATGTCTCATGGGAGATGCTTGCCCTTACCATGTCATGCTAGTTTAAATACAGTTCCCACACATCACATGTCAAGCTGTACTTGATTGTTTTCAAATAGATGGCAAAAATCATGAGAGGAGGAAAATGTTCTTTTGTGTGACATATTTTTCTTTTGATATATTGGGTTCTGTAGCTGTCAAAACAAAGGCTGTTTTTCCATCTATTATTACAAATGCATTTGGGGTAAATCTCATCTGCAACTCTCTAGTCCCTTGGTTGTTTACTTCAATAGAGTGTTACTGTTTTAATTTTTCTAAATCTAGTGAAATGATGAATTTTCATTTTTGCTGTGATCCTCAGTAGGCAAATGAGGTTCTTTCTCAGAGGAGATTTAGATTGTGTCTGGAAATGCAGTATGTTTAAAGTATTTTCTGCTTTTCTGGCAGGAGGATGGAATATTTAATTTCATTATTCGACATACGTTTATTTATTTTACACAATGAAAAGAAATTCATCAATAGTGTCTTCAGCATCCAGAATAATTATACTTACCATGACTGTTTCATATACTCCATTTATATTTTATATCTTTCTCATCACTCAGAAATTATTCATCTCTCTGCTGAGAGGTGAAATTCTTCTGTTGAGTAACCATAATTTCTCTGAACTCCACAAAGCAATTACTTTTACTTAAAGGTGTTTCTTGAGACAAATTCACCAAATACACATACCTGAATAAAGGTTATTTTTTTCTGTTGATTTTCAGGATTATTTAGTGATGCTTTATAAAAGAGGTAAATCAATGTTTCTGCATCTTAACATTTACTGCACTTTTATTAGTCATAATGAATTCTTAGAGATGGATGCAAATGTGATAGTGCAAGTAAGTAGGAATGCAGTTAAAATGCAACATTAATTCATTCCCAGTTGTTATTAAATGTCACAAGATATTAATAGTTTTACTGATATTTTCCTTTGTAAACCACATGAGGAAAAAACCAAAAAAAACCAAAACCACAACAGTGTGATGTATGCACAGTCATCAAGATAATTATCTCTGAATCTCTTGTGCTATTTCACTGCAGACCTATATTTTTGGGAAAGATCAAAGTATGGAGTGTAAAGATGGTGATAGAATGTATCGTATTCCCACAGAAATCAATCAAAGGTTTTTGATTGGTCTTCCATTTGGGAAGTGCTCACAGTGGGAACAGAAACAGGATTAGTACCATGATATATGATTTCTCTCACCATCAATAAAACAGATTTTCTCATTTATCTTATCCTTTGAGATGTTTAAATTTTGAACGTCAGCTGATTCAAATTTTATGTTCAGGGAATCTGGGCACTGAGATGATTTGTGGTTAGGGAACTGCACTGGGACTCAAATCGGGGTTTGTTCTGTCATGCATTTCTCATGTGATCTGCAAGTCCTTTATTGCTTCTTGCACAAACTCATCAGTAAAATAGGGTGATGTTACTCTTCTTGTTCTAAGGATTTGTTAACATTTGGATGGCTTATCTGTGGCAGATTGCTGAGGGCCATGTGAAAATGCACAATCTTATTTAAACGTACTGCTTTACATATGTATCCTTCTTTCATTTTATGCTTGTGTATCTACTTTCTTCCAGCCCCCTCATGAGACTCTTGCTTTCATTCTTTTCTCTGTAAGCAATCTTTCACAGACTGACCTTCCCCAGACATGGGCTCAGTGTGGGTCCTGGGTTTTAAGGCAGGTAATGTGTACGAGTGGAGATTTAAGTGTTGGGGAAGCACCATGGCCATGTGGGTAGTCTTTGGTGATCCAGCTGACAGGTTTGTGCTTTGGAAACTAGATATTTGATGTATTTTTGTTCCAGGTGATTGATGTTCATTTAAATGATTCAGGTGTGTGATTCGCAGTCATAGAAATTCATAATGATTTTGATAGCGGGTGTCATTTATATAAGAACCCAAGAATGCCATTCCAGATACTTCTTTTAAATATTCAAATAGCAAACATAATATTGTGTGTAATTTTTTAAAAGGAAATTGTGTTAGTATATATTCACCCAAAATTATTTGCATAAATACTTCTGTGTTTGCCACGTGTGCCTTTGCATGTTTGTTTTTTTTAAAAAACGTCTTTTACAGTAAGCTACATGTATTTTTTAGCTTACGCTGCATAGTCATAAAAGCCAGTGATCCTTAGAGGAGTGAGCAGATCTGAGCTGTGCATTGTTCTCTCTCAGTCATCATTATCTGGGATGGAGCAGTGGTTTCAATAGCAAGTGCAGGAGGTATAGCTACCTGCTCTCTATTAGTTTCAGTTAAGAATTGAAGTGAGAATTCTTTGTCCCTGCAACACTGTTTCTTTGATGTCCTTGCACAGCACCGATAAATGGTGACCTGCTAATGGCATCTGCAGTAAAACCGTGCAGACTTTGAGTTTTACATTGCTCTTTGGGTTTGGTATAAGTGGGCCAGGTATGGAAATTTAAAACTGTACTACTACCAAACAAATTAAACTATCTTTAAACGCATTACATGTGTGTACATTTGCATGCTTCCTTCAAATAAGAGTTGTGGTTTACCTTCAGACAACTGCATTTTCCTTGATGAAGCTTCCATTCAGACATTGTAGATATAAAGCCTGCCAATATGGAGGACCTGACGGAAGTGATTACAGCCTCTGAGTTCCATCCCCACCACTGCAATCTCTTCGTCTACAGCAGCAGCAAAGGATCCCTGAGACTCTGCGACATGAGGGCATCGGCTCTCTGTGACAAACATTCCAAGCGTAAGTCCTTGCTCCACTGAGCCCCAGACATCATTAAACTCTTACTATTCACAGACAGCACGTAGAAGGGTGCATACCCCAGTGCATTATTTCTCACTTGCAGGCAGATTTGAAAAGAAAACAGCAAAGAAGAATTTTTTTCACTTGTGCAAGTATTAGCTGTGAATCTGGTAACAGACATGTCTGTAACTGATTGCCCTTACAGTTCTTATTGCAGAGATAGTGAAGAACCAGAGCTCTAGCGAAAGAAAGAGGATTCCTAACAAATCCTAAATCCCAAAAAACGAGGATGAGGGAGTGTTTAACTAGATGAGCATGCTGGTTTGAATACACAAGTACTGTTCTGAATGCTGCAGCAAGTAAATTTTGATTGCCAGACTGTCTTCAAATTTTGAATCCATTTTCTGGATTAGGAAATCTCAGTATCCATCCTAAAAATGTAGTCTGGCATTCTCTATATTATATTCATACATAATTTTTCCAATATTACTTATTTCAGAGTATACTTATTGATTTCAGAGGAAATGCAATAAGTATTTGAGGGAGGAGGAGGGAAAGAAAAAAAAATTGTGTTGTTATAGAAGTTGTCATCAGTCCTACATAATTTTATGCAGCCTGTGAAATTTTGAGATGAGCCACCAAATCATGATAGTTCATATCTGAAATGTACATAAGAAGAAGGATGTACACTTTTAAAATACGTGACTTTGTTCTCAAAGTAAAAGTTGAAGAAAAATGCAGGTTTATATTGTCTTACTATGAGCTCTTTATGGTCTAGAGAAGACATACTGTGGTTCTTCCCACCAGTAATCTGGCAAGCCTGGGCACTTTGCCTTGTGCAAACCACCTGCTTGTTCCTGATCTGCAGAGTCTGACAGCGCCCAGACAAAGGCATCACGTGGATGGATGGTTGCTGAGGAGCTGAGAACCTCATGAATTAACTGTGGTGGCTTTGCTTTAGTCACCTTCAAGACAAGGGCTCTTCCAGGACACATCCATCTCACAGAATTTGGTGATCAGTTTCTTTTGTGATGCTGAAACATTGGAAGGAAATTCTTTTAGTACCAGAGCGCATAAGAGGTTTTATGCCATTCAGTGCCTACTTAAACCTGTTTGAGACAGGCAGATCTTATTAGTAGGGGCAAGAGGAGAGGAAGAAATATGTGAAGATTTAAATGAGACATAAGTGGTGCATAGATTTCATACATATGCTATTTTTAAAATGAAAGTGAATTTAATAAAAAGTATATGACTACACCTTTTGACTACATGGAAAAATGCACATGCTCAGAACTTCTTGGGATGTGTTGTCCAATTATAAAAAATAAACTTTGAGGATAATTTCCCAAGCAGATAAGTGTTTTACCTTGTTAGCTGTATCTCCTTGTATTTGTAGGGGGAATTCCATACCATGTAGTGAAATGTAAGCATGACACAGCCTGACACAATGCTGTGACTTATCCTGTCCCACTTAATTGTTTTGTTCTGTAATACTTCCATTTCTTCCTGCTAATAAGGCCTCCATGCCCCTGTAACTCAATGGCAAATGCCAATCAGAACTTATTAAAGCCACAATACAGCAACACTGGATGAAAGAAGAAGGCATTTTATGCCAGTAGGGAGTGCAAGGTCTAATGGTCATTGATTAAACACCATTTTCCAGATCTATGACTTAGAAAATAGCCATTTAATGTAGCATTGCTGTACTGAAGTCAAGTCAAGCTCATTGAGAATCTGAGTGTGTACAGTACAAAATTGATACAGCAATGTAGAACTTCCAAAGTGTTAAAAGGAGTAGGCCCATGTACTGCTGATTGGAGTGGTTTCAGTATAGCTCTGAGACAAGCAAAGTGAATTATATACAGCCCACGGCAGCCTAAAAGGATATTTCAAAAACCAGTCTGCAAAATCAAGTTGTTTGCATGATTGTCTCTCTGGTACCTTGATTGTGCATCTGATTCCCCTTCAGAGCTGCTAAATTTACAACTGGTGCATATTCATGATCAGTACCCTGCTCTCCTAGCCTGCCTTGGCTTTCAGTCTTTCCCCATAACTGACGTCACCTTTCAAGCAAAACACCACAGCTGCAGTGGCTGTGAGCCCTGCAGCTTGGAGTTGTACCATGTACCCCTGCTTTCTCAGCACAGTCTGGTATCACTGCATGCTGTATTTCAGATGCTGTTCCAAGACTGTAATGGATGTACATATTTTTAGGGTTGAAAGATACAATGTAAAAATTAACAAAAATTCCAGGATAATGAACATACGTTGTGAACTTTTGCATTTACTTCTTTTCCCCATACTTTTTCAAATCTCTGTAGCTGTCATAAAGTCCATTGGAGGAAAGAGCCCTTCCATTTGTACAGATTTAGGGAGTGCCATGAATAATTACAGTGACATATTATAAAAATAAATTACAGTGTAAGCCAGCCAACATAGGATGTTAATAAATTATAATGTCTTGAAGATTTCTGATTTTCTAAGCTTAGTGACAGAATGTTTCGTTTTGGCATTAGTGACAGCAGCACTACAAGGTTTCCCTTTTAAATCCTCATGGCTTTGACATGGACAAGAGGAGACTGCTTCCATATGTACTCATCCTAGATGCCTATGCTGAGATTTAATAGCAAGCTGCCAATTTGTGTGATGAGTTGTAATGGGGATATCTGTCCCTTAGAAAAATTGTTTCAGACCACCAAATCTATTTATAAGTCATTGAAAGAATATCAGGGCAGTAGCTGAATTTTAAATGTTCATTGAGATACTGATAAGGTGTGATAAAATGCGTTGTGTCTCTGATAGACTACCTGAAGCTGCTTCTTATCACAGCTCTGTAACAGACTGTGCAGTGCTGAGTGAGGATTGCAAGAAAATCTTATGTAGCCATTGCAAATGTGTATCAGGGAAAGACCACTCTGTAACTGTAGAACAGGAACATACATAATGCTGTTCCATATTCTAAATTATCAGACTTTGTGAATAGTGGGAGAGGAAGCCATCAAAAATGTTCTGGAGAGGAGGTGCCAAAGAGACGAACATCCCTCCTTGTTTAGAATATTAGAGGAGCAGGTGTTCTAGGTAAAGATCAAAAACATTTATGAAAGTCAGACTCAAGCAGCAACAAATAGGGAGTTAATTTAAATAACATGTAGCCTTTTACCTAAATAGTGTATTTGCCAAAGCACCCAAAGATTGCCTTTGAGATGTTATCAGGCAACATGCTTGGCAGTGCAGTGTAGAAAAAAGGCAGTATATGGAAATCTGTGACAGCAGCAAAAGTACCATTGTTAGAGCAGTCAGCAGTCAGCTCTAAGGGAGCATTGAAGAAATAAAAGAATTAAACCCCACCTCAAATTCCATAAATTTTTATGCAAGGGGTTTAGGTGACAAGGAAGACAATCATAGAGATACTGTTGCAGTAAGATCATTCTGACTAAAAATATACTTACAGTAGCATTTGTTCAATTAACAAATAGTTGCTAATTTGTTTTTTTTAATTTTTATTGCTAATACTATGTTCAGAGATCCTCATGATGGAGTTAATGGAGTTAATATCATTCTTCCAAACAGCTTGTAGACTAGATGGGTACATATGGCTGTTTCAACAAATCATACAAAAAAATCAGTCAGCTGAAGAAAACAGAGTTTAAAAATGAAGTCAGAAAAAAAATAAAACTCTTTTTCAATAGTTCATCAGAATTATTAAAACCATTATTAAATTGTAAATATAAACTGTGTAGTTATGCAATATGGAAATTTAAGTCACTCAAGAGTATAACTCCTATTGATATTTCATGTAATAGCCTTAACATCTTAAAGTCACTGCATACTTCAGAAGCTGTAGTAATTTATTTAAATTCTGTATGTTGCTTTAAGGGTTTTTTAATACATATTTGTAGATTAAAACCTTATTTTCTAATTCCCTATTTCTAATTATCCATTACCCATGTGCAAACTTTACAGCAAAATACTTCAAGGAAAGAGGAGCTGCAGTTTCAAGTTTATTGCTCTGTGTGCCATAGTGATCTTAAAAGCAAAAATTTTGGGCTTATATATCATTAGCCTCTGTCATCATGAGTTGGTGCTTTCTGTCCTCGGACAAACTTCTCAAGCTCCTGACCTCTGGGTCTGTAGCAGGAGCTGTTTAGAGCCCTCCTCCCCTGACCAAGGAAACATTTGTGGGTGTTGGGCAATCCCAGCTGCCTTCCCTGGACTGTCCCTGAACGGAGCAAAGCCTCTCAGCTGGTGCATCCCAACCCCATGGGTTAGACAGGCAGGCTCTTAAAAGTAAAAAATGGTTTTTGGAGCGGTGCAGAGTGAATTTCAGGTTTGGTTTGTGACTCACAGATGCCACCCAAATATGAGGGGGTTGTTTTTTCCGTGGAGAGTATTTTCCCACATTTTTCTTTGAAAACCACGCCTGAAAGAAATGCCAGCCTTTCCCCAGGGATAAATGCCACTGTCCTGTCAGTCAGGCATGTAACTCAATTGGGTTATCTCCTGGCCTTTTTTGAGATTACCTTTGAATTAAAAAAATTCAGAATCGTGGAAGCAGCCAAGACACAAATCAAGGATAATCTACTTAACATGTTGAATTTTTAAAATTAAATTAATTCTATTTACCAACTGTTTAAAGCAGTTGGAATTTCAGAGACAAGACACCTTTCAGACCTCTGAGTATGGATTATCTTTCATTTGCAACAGAGAACAGCCAGATTCACAAAAAAGCCTGTGACAGACTATCCCTGCTGGATTTCTTAATTAATATTGACCTTTCCAAATGAATGATGCTTATTGTCCGACTGAAGAAGAGACAACTTATTTTTCTTCTGTGTGAGCTTTACATCTAAAATACACTTTTTATTTCTGCATCTGGTCTCATGTCAGGTTATCATCTGAGAGAGACAGTCATCACTCTCCCTTTGGGCACAGAGAGGGCCCTGTCAAAGTGATGTCCACTTCAGGCAAAATCTGCAAGGTTTCATGTGACAAGACTGCAA